AGGACGCTGACTTTTACACCATTTGGCCGAGAGGCCCGAAAGCTACAAAAATATATGACGTTTGTTCCATCGTTCTGCTGCCAGAGTGCTCTATCAGCGGAGGTGAAGTTATGGAGCAATAAAATTATAGTGCCATCACCACTTTAGTTAGACATGTTGACTTGGCTTCCCGTTGGCCTTGCCACAGAGAGAAGGCTGTACATCTTCATCTAGTTTTAAACGTTTGAGCTTCCACCTCTCTGGAAATAATGTGATGCTGACAAATGAATCCTTTACTGATGTCAGCAGCAGCATGCTTCGATCTTAAAAGAGGATCAAAGGTTAGCTGAACTGCAGAACAGCATTCAGGACTTCTTGTGAAGGTAGTAAACTAACTGATGGTGACTCTCTTGAGTGTTAATGGGAATAAGAAGCAGTAGATCTCAGTAGGGTTGGTCCTGGCTTTCATGGAGGAGCCATAAAGGTGTGTGGACAATTTCCTCAAACATGTTGACTGGATAAAACTAAAAACTTGCTAGAAGCTCGGTTAAGTTTGCTCACTCTCAGACTGTTGTTGGTTACCAGGAGTTCTGGACCCTTACTAGAGCTTTGCTGCAGGTGCCAGCTAGGGTCTTGCTAAATTACTGAGATTTTACTGAGCAAAGTCTTACCAACAAGTCGCTGTTTTCAAAAACTGCACTTTTTTAAAATATCCACATGCGACTGGCCGTAAAAGTGAACCTTAGGTCAAAAATGTCCAACTTTACAGCAGAAATGAACATGTTTACAGACTGAAGAGAATGAGTATTAGAGTGGAAAGGGGACAAAAGTATGCAAGATATGTCTAAAACAATGACAGCAATAATTGCTGCTGCAAATTAAATTCTGAAAAGTTACAGTTTTAGTCTTTTGGAAGCATTTCTGATGGTGTACTGTAACTCTTTCCTTTTTTTAAACTGTTTTCAATCCACCAAGACGCAGCATCATGTTTGCTAGAGTGCATGCTGGAGGCAATTTGTGCATTTCATTAAAACTGGTTGCAAGCCTTAGTCTTCCAGTGATTTGTGTGATGGGAGTGCTGTAAATTCTTTTCCCAACCTCCCATGAATAGTCACATAATTTAACAGCGACTGCAAACTGAGGCGACAGATTGATGAAACCATCTGGCAAACTCACTTTCTCGGAGTCCGGGCACCAGCTTGAAAATGATCTCCTCCAGGGTGTTGTCTAACCTGAGAATATGACAGTGAGAAGGAGGTGGAGGGGATGATGCATCGGGGGATAACAAGAAATTAAAGTAGGCAATAGAAGTTAAATGGTGGAGGTGAAGGGAGCGATGAGGTGAGGTCAAGCAGGAATAAAAGTATCCA